CCCACGGAAGGATTTTTACCCGACGGAGGATATTTTGGTTTCGCCCTCTCCGCGAAGAGTATTTCTTTTTGGGGAGGGGGGTTTTCCACAGGGGAATTTAACCCCCCGCTGGGCTGCCCAGGAGACTTCTGCGGCCTTTCTCTCTCAAGGAATACCTTCCCCCCTCCCCTGCCCCCGCAGATGTTTTTTTGGGGTACACCCCAGGAAATTTTTCTTCTCCTGCCTTTACGAATTCTTCAGACTCGCCTCGCTTCTGGCCCCTCAAGTTCGCTTTTATGATTTTAAATTTTAATTTATTTGGAATATTTTTGGAGCAGGGGAGAAGAATCTGACCCCCCCCACCACCACCACCCTGTTGCCCTCGGACTCCGAAGAGACGAGCCTGGATTTTTCTCTCTCTCCCGCAGCCAATCCTTCCCAGTCATTCCACAATTTGCCCCTTTCTCATCTGATGACTAAAGAAACAGGAGGAAGAGGAGGGAGGTTTCTGGATTAATTGCCCCCACTGGATTATTTATTTTTTTTCCTACTTCTCGTAGGAATTGCTTGGCATCTGAGAAGAGAGGAAGGAGGGATGTCAACTGATTTTTACCCCTAGCCCCCCTGGATTAATTACCCCATTTTTATTCTCTTGTTGGATCAATTACCCCTTCACCTTGCCTCCTCTCCCTCCCCTCCTTACGCGAATGAGAAGACAAGAGGAACAGGGAGGATTTTGATCTTAATCTCCCCGTCGTTGGATTACTTACCACCTCCCTCTTTCTGTTCTCCCCTTCCACGGTGGCTTTATCCCCCCCCTCCCCGTGCTGTATCCAGAAGAAGAGAAAACCTTCCGAGTTTCTCTTAAAATTTTTTCCGTTTTAAATTTTTTTGTTGTTGTTGTTAAATATATATTTTTTTATCCTCCCCCCCTCTCTCCGATACCGCTCTCCTCCTGCCTTATTTATCCTGCCACTATTTCGCGTGCTCCTGTGTGTGTGTGTCTGGATGTAAAATCCCTTATTTAATTGTATTATTATTTGTGCGTGTGCAGAGTCCCCCCC